AGATACCATGGTTTATTGACATTAATCTAAAAAAGGCTGGCCTTAAATGGTATAGTATTTTTTAAAAGTGTCACACTTTTAACATAAGTCAAAAGCATTAAACGTTTTTCCCAACAAGACTGTCTAAAATAGAATGGTAATACAAAAAAAATCATGAATTGCAATTTATCTGGGCTAGATATCCGAAATTGTACCATTGTCACTAATATCATAACTTCTAATCAACATTATCATTAGTATCATTAGTAAGTTATTTATTATTTATTAGGTCAGCCTCTCCTATTTTTTTTTTGTTTTTTACATTATCAATAAATAAACAGTAGAAGTTATTGGATTTTAATGTGTTGTATAAATTTTTTGTATTCAATTAAGTTTCGTTTTTTTAATTTTTTTAATGTTTTTTTAATGTTTTTTCAATAAAGTTTATTTGCTTTTTGTACTTGATCTCTTCTTTGTCCAGGTCTCCATAACTAGATACTGTAATTCCCAGGTATTTTATTTCCATTACTTGTTCAATAGTGATGACATCAATGTCTATTTTACATTAGGTTGGTTCTTTGCTGACTACTATTGTTTTAGTTTTCTGAGATGAGATTGTCATATTAAATTCTTTGCTCTTATGTTAAATCTGTGTTCCAGTATTTGCAAACTATCTTCTATATAATCTATATCTACTGATGTATCTGAATATAAAGAAACTCAAAATCTCCACAGGATTCTGTGGGAAAGATTGTAAGAAATCAGATTGATTATAAATATGCTAGTAAATAACAGGTAGAGGAACAGCTGTACATTTCTCAAAACGTACCCGGGGCAGACATAAATTCTGATGATGTGCCAGTTGTAGGTAATTTTAAAGTTAGAACGAAGAAGGTTACAAGTAAGTCGAGCACATTTGTAGAGGCTCTAAAAGGCATCTCAATAAATGGAGTCAAGCTCAATAACTTGCGTTATGTAAATGATACAATAGTGCTTTTTAATATCATAGAAGGGCTGCAAAACTTAATGAACAAAAATAAGGAAACAAGTAGAACATATGGACTGGATATAGACACCAGCAAAACCAAGCTAATGATCATCAGTAAGGAAATCATAACTGGAGCAAATCTGTATGTGAACCAAATGAGAATTGAATAATACACAGTACAAACGGCACAGTACAAAAACGTAAGAGCTGTAATCAATGAGTGGTGGGACAATACTCAGAAGACTAAATGTTGCGTCAGAAAAACAAAAAATGCATTCTTGACTATGCGCTCTTTTTTCAAGAGCCATGACCTCAACCTAGAAACAAAAATAAGGCTCCTCAAATGTTACGTGTCTACGAAAACTCTCTCAAAACTTCAGGCTTTTGAGCTATAGTTATACAGAAGGACACCAAAGATATTATGGACAGACAAAGTCACCAATGAAGAAGTACTACGGAAGATGAACACAGCCGTGAATCTTCCTTGTTCCTTGCGATGTAACACCGCTCTTGGAGCAGTTATAAACAACTATGCAATCTATTGTGATACCTGATAGTGATACAACAAATAATAATAAATTAAGTTTGTAGGATATCAAAAAAACTTTCATTCGGTATTTAGAAGATAAAAGACAGGAAGCCGCACAGACATGTGGAAAAAAAACTGTTCCAACAGGACAAAATATTGCACATTCTGAAATTAGTTTAAAAGATCTCACCGAAGCATCTACTTCCGCACATAATCAAACTGCTGAGTCAGAAATCGTAGATGATTCGGAGAAGGACATTCTTTTTGTCGACCACTTTCCACTAGGCAGTGATTCATTAGATGATGAAATAAATGAGCTGCAAAAGATGTAAGATGACGTTAAAAAATATTGGTGAATACGTTTTATTTTTAACGAAGGTCATGTTTACCTTGGAGTGATAACAGCAATAGAAAATGATAAAGCGATGATCAATGCCTTGGCAAAATCGTTAAAGTTTTGGAAATGACCAAAAAAAGACGCGACGAAATATAATAAATTTAGGACAAGTCGTACAAGTCGACAATAAATTGTCGTTATAATAAAGTTTGTTCATTTAAAATGTAGCAATTTTCTTCGAAAAACTGTGCGGACGAATATTTTTTGCATTTAGTTGGTGCATAATTTAAAATCCAATTGGATTACTATGCACCAGCAAACATTTCGTAGCCAAATAATATTATAATATCGAGTGGTGAAAAGTATCACTTTTCAAAATGTCTAAAACAAAGCTATAATAAGATCTATACTACAACTTGTTTATTAGATATTTAAAATAATAAGTTCAGATCTTCTTTTGAGTGATGTTATATCCACTCTAAGATATTAAAACTAACAAAAATGGTACAAAGGAACTCTGTTATATATTACTTGAATTAAGAATCTAACAAGCGTAGCCCATTTATGAGTGTCGTAATTATTTATTCATATTTGATAAATAGTATATAGGATCAACACAAAGTCCTGAAGATGCTCTCAAAGAGGGAGTCAAAAGTTCGACAGTGATGTTTTTCTATCACAACAATAACTGGAGTATTACAGTTTTTCTCTTCCTATAAACTGATCCCTAACAGCAAATCGTTTTAGAATAAACTTATTAAAGTACCAGTGATTATCTGTTTCCCGGATCCAGAGGTCCAGGGTTCAGCAGGGATATTAACTGAAATGGTATGCACGCTTGGTATCACCTCTTCTTTGACCACATATTTCACACAATTTTCATTTGATATTTCAGTTTTTGGAATTGTTACCAGGAATATCTTTCGTAGTGCTAGTTTCAAATTCGTAATCTTAGCCATCGGAGGAATTGCCATGTTTGTGCGATCCATTGCTTGACATATTAAAACCTTGAGATGAGTTACCACCTTTGTGTCCATGTATAATATGCTTATGAACTGCTGGATGTATTGAACCGTTGTTATCACCTAAGCTCCCACTAGTATGCTCTCCTGTTTAATATGTATTTCTTACTTTAGACCAGTGTTTTTTGATCCACCACCACCTCCAACGCTCTTATTTATCGAGCCATCACCTATAGTTATGTCTTCGTACTCACTCTTAAATTCGTTGTCGTAATCTTCATCGGTAGAATTTCCATGGTGATCAGTGCTATGGCCGTGAAAAAAATGGGAGGAGTTACCGCCTATATGTCCATGTATGACATGCTTATGGACTACTAGATATCCTGAACCGTTTTTCCATCACCTCCAACGTTGTTACTTAATGAGCTCTCACCTCTTTTCATGTCTTCTTACTCAGTCTGGGAGGAATTGCCACCTTTATGTCTATGTACGACATGTTTGTGAACTACTCGATGTCCTGATTCGTTTTTATAACCTGAGTTGCCACTAGATTCTTCACCAGATTAATATCTATTTCTTACTTTAGACCAGTGTTTCTTTGATCTACCACCACCTCCAAAGATATTATTTAATGAGCTCTCACCTCCACTCATATCTTTCGGAATATTTCCGAAACCGTTAAAGATAAGTATAGGATATTGTACACAAGATATGTCTAGAATATTCTAAGGAATCCAAAACATGAGTAATATACAGGGTGTTATATTTAAAATAAGAAAGTTGGTATTGGCCACTATTACATGACACCTGTATGAAATGACACCTATGACGCCCTGTATGAAAAGATTTTATTGCTAAACATGCGCAACTAAACATACCAATTGACGTATCCGAGCGTTTTTAAAAGCAGACTTCCATTTACTTATTATCGAATTTATTCCATTTAGCGATTCCACTCTGTATGCTTTTACCATTTCAAAATAAATATGTTGATGTTTTCGAATATCTCATTTTGTTAATACTAAGTTCTTATTTTCACAAGTATGTAACTCTCATCTCGAAGCCACTTACTTGAAAACTGCTTATTATTATTCTATCGATGAGATTAAACCTAACCATTTATCCGATTTCATTTAATCGCCGAACGTTTATTCAGAATCGAGCAGACTAACATTTCCATTTGAATCACCGGTCGGGTTGCCTAAAAAGGCGTGTGACTAAAACCTGCGGAGGATTTATGACCTAAAGAGCAAAAAATGTGAACTTTTATTTTCTATAATTGTCTTGGAGTCGTGGAACTTGTTTGGATTCACTCGATATAAGCCTTAAGCGGCTTTGGTGCGGCTAGGAATGGAATCGATCAATAAGCATCCTTAATGCTCACATTAGCAAGACACGGTATTAGTTAGATGCACAGATTTTGTTCTGATTTAAAGTAGGTGAAATAATTACAATCGTTTTGTATGTCAATGTATACGATTTATACGAGTAAATATAAGAAGTCAAACCAAGGTCTGTAACAGTTACGGACATAGGACTAAGACTTAAAAATCTGTTATTAATGGATATCATTGATAACTGGGACAGTAACGAAGGAGTAATCTTGTCAAAAAAACTTCTGTGCATATTATTCCTATTTTTTAAGTAATTGAAAACAACACTGTTATCAACACGTGTACTACCGTGATGATAGATGATATTTTTCTGCTGCAAACCAGATCTGGTCGTTGAGTTTTTTATTCCAGTTGTTTCTAATAGTTTTTATTGTAATTTTTTGTTATTGTCTTATAAGTTTAAAAATGTTAGATTAATAAAATTTAATCTACATTTCTTTAAACCGATGACGTTTCCTATATGAAGGATTTCGGCACATCTATTTTAATAATAGCTGAAAAACTGAATATTTTAGGGTATATTCTAGCAATTTAGGATCACAGTGAAAAATATAAGTCTTATGTATAATTAGGAATCGATTAACTAAGTTAGTATGATTCTTCTGAAACCCAAATATTGTATTGTATTGTATTGTCGAAGGCATTTTAGATAAGACGAAAAGCGTGGGTTGTTTCCAGGAATTATTTTTTTCCTATGAAAATTTTTCTACATCATTGAATTCCTGAGACACCCTAAAATAAGGTTTAATAAATCGCCCATAATAAACCGCCCGAAAAACGGTTCCTTCTTCTTCTTCTTTTTGTGCCACTCCTATCGGAGATTGGAAATCATCAAGGCTATTCTGACCTTGTTTACGGCTGACCTAAAGAGTTCATTAGTGGTGCAGCCAAACCACTCTCTCAAATTCCGCAACCACGACATTCTTCTACGGCCTGGATTCCGTTTTCCTTCTATTTTTCCCTGCATTATATTTTGAAGTAATGCGTATTTATGTCCTCTCATCAGGTGACCAAAATATTCGAGTTTTCTTCGCTTTAGCGTTAACAAAATCTCTGGGTCTTTTCCTATTCTTCGTATTACTTCACAGTTTGTTATTCTTTCAACCCAACTAATCTTCAGCATTCGACGGTAGCACCACATCTCGAAACTTTTAATATTTTTCATGTTATTCTGTTTGAGAGTCCAGGCCTCTACACCGTATAATAGCGTGTTAAATACATAGCCTCTCAGCATTCTTAATCGTAGAGGGATGCTTATATTTCTGTTGCAGAAGAATTTTCTCATCTTTATGAAGGTGGCCCTGGCAATTTCGATACGTCTTTTTATTTCACTGTTTTGGTCTCCAGTTTCGTTTATTAACGTTCCCAAGTATTTGTAACTTGATACTTTTTCAACTTGAGTGCCGTTTATACTAATATACGCTGGTTGTGTCATGTTTTTACTGAAGACCATATACTTGCTTTTTTTAATATTGATATTTATACCATAATTGTTGCAAGCAATATTTATGTCTGTAAGTAATCTTTGTAATTCTTCTACTGTTCTTGCAACTAGTACAGTGTCGTCCGCGTATCGAATATTATTTACAATCTCTCCATTAATTACGATTCCTCCGTTTGCTTGTAATAGGGCTTCCTGACAGATACTTTCAGTATATACATTAAATAACAGAGGTGACAAAATGCAACCCTGTCGTACTCCTCTACGTATTTCTATTGCTTGTGATGTTTCAGTTTCTATTTTGGTGTTAGCTTTCTGATTCCAATATAGATTGAGAATTATTCGCAGATCTTTATTATCTATGTCCTTCCTTTCAAGAATCTCTCTAAGCTTATCATGGCGTACTCTGTCAAACGCTTTTTCAAAATCGATAAAACACGTATGTACCTCCTGATTAACGTCTAGGCATCTTTGTGTGAGAACATTCAAACCGAAGAGAGCTTCTCGAGCACCTAGCCCTTTTCTGAACCCCATCTGTGTATTACTAATATCTGACTCCAACTTTTGATAAACTCGGTTGTGGATGATTTTTAGAAATATCTTTAGTAGGTGGCTCATTAAAGATATTGTTCGATGTTCTGAACATTCTTTAGCATTAGATTTCTTTGGCAGTGTAACGAATGTAGACAACAGCCACTCTTGAGGTATAATGCCAGTATTGTATATTATATTAAATAAGTGCAATATTATACCTATTGATTCATCATTCAAGAGCTTTAGCAATTCGGTAGGAACCTCATCCGGTCCATTTGCCTTCCCAGTTTTGGAATTTTTAAGTGCTATTTCTACTTCACATTTTAGAATTTCAGGTCCCGTTTCGCAATATATCAGAACAATGTTATTTCTGTTGTCCTCAAATAATTCTCTTATGTATTCACTCCATCTATTAATTTTCTCTGTTAAATCTAAGGCGGTTCCAATTTTATTTAAACCTTGTTTTTATCAAATTAGAAAAATTAGCTTTTTCGACACGGACAATTTTTTTATGTTTTTTTGTATTCTTCTGAACAAAAAATGTCTCTCACAATTTATTTTAAATTTGATTTTTTACCTTTGTGCTTCTCTGCTAACCACTTTGTTTCTATAATAGTCTAGGTTTTGAAGTGAATATGTGAATAATATAATAATCATATTAAGAAATCTACGTATTCAACCTTCATGCTGACGACACTGCCCTACTTTTTGCAGGACCTCCCAACCCCAACGGAAGAGAGCGTTCTGTACTCGACAAGGCCTATGCAGGACTTTGCTTTATCGTCAGGTGATGCAACAAATGAAGAGTAAAATAAAATCCAACAAAAACACAAAATTTAGACATACTAATTGCTCTCAACAATATCTCGAGGAAAACAACCTCATAATGCTCAACGGAGAAAGACTCGTATTCAGGCCATCAGTGTCCTATTTGGTTGTCGACTTTATGCAGTCAACTGGAACACCATCAGGATAAGACAGAGAGCTAATCTCCTAAAAGCTATGATAACGTACTATGCAGTAAATTTGATAATGATAGTATTGTTACTCTTGTACACACATAGAAAACCTTTATCGAGCCTATTGCCGAGTATAGAGTGAGACTCTCAATATCTGAATAAACGTAATACAACTAAACCAACTTATGGCAATGAAGATGAAAATCCCGAAGAGAATTATGGGCAAAGATCGTGATTATTCGTCAACATTATTCCACCAAGTAGTCATCATTGAAATCCAAAATAAAACCGAAACCCTCAGTCAAAAATACGTTTTGATAATAATCGAAAGCTTAAACGTCAGAGCAATTGAGATTCTTAAAATACCATGCTATCTCCGAGGGCAATAAGTTAGCTACCAGATTCTCTCAAAAAAATTCTATTTCTGCCAGTTATGCTTCTAAACTTAATAGATAACATGCTTCATGATGAATACTTTGACACACTTCAATCAACCCCTTCTTCTTCTTCGGGTTCCTTCTCCTAGCGGAGGTTGGAAATCATCATCGCTATTTTAACTTTGTTGGCTGCATTTCTGAATAATTCTAATGAGCTGCCGCCGAACCACTCTCTCAAATTTCTTAGCCAGGACATTTTGCGTCGTCCTCGGTTTCTCTTCCCTTGTATCTTCCCTTGCATAATCAACCTCAGTAATACGTACTTCTCACCCCTCATTAAATGTCCCAGATATTGAATCTTTCTAATTTTAACAGTTTTTATGACTTCACATTCTTTCTTCATTCTTTGTAACACTTATATATTAGTTACTTTTTCAATCCACGATATTTTATGCATTCTCCTGTAGCACCACATCTCAAAGGAGTTTAATTTTTTGATTTCAGACTGCTTTATTGTCCACGCTTCCATGCCATATAGTAAAGTAGAGAAGACGTAACAACGTAGCATTCTTGTGCGAATCTCTAGATTAAGGTTACGGTTGCAAAGTAATTTCTTCATTTTTATGAACGTGTTTCTTGCCATTTCTATTCTAGATCTGATCTCCTTTACTTGATCTCCATCTTCGGTTAGCCACGTTCCTAAATATTTATATGTTTTTACTCTTTCTATCGTTGTATTATTGATGATCAGGTTATTTACATTTGGTGGTTTTTTTGAGAATATCATTGATTTCGTTTTCTTGAGATTCATTTGCAGTCCGTAACTTTCACATGCATTGTATACATGTTGTATTATGTACTGTAGATCTTCCATGTCACTTGCAAATATGACAGTATCGTCGGCATATCTAATATTATTAATGCTATTTCCGTTGACATAAATACCTTCCACGATATCCAATAAAGCCTCTTGAAAAATCACTTCACTGTAGACGTTGAATAAGAGTGGTGAAAGGATACACCCTTGTCGAACTCCTCTAAGTATACTTACTTCCTCTGTCAGTTCTCCTTCGACTCTTACTCTTGCTTTCTGGTTTTGATACAGATTCGATATAATTTGTAGATCTCTACTATCAATGTTTTTAGTCTTAAGAATACTTAAAAGCTTCTCATGTTGAACTCTATCAAAAGCTTTTTTGAAATCTATAAAGCAAGCATATATGTCCTGATTCATATCCAGGCATCGTTGTGTCAGAACATGGACTCCAAATAATGCTTCTCTAGTTCCTAGACCCTTTCTGAAACCCATCTGTGAATCACTTATTTCTTGTTCTAATTTCATGTGGATTCTGTTATGTATGATTTTAAGGAAGGTTTTCAATGTGTGGCTCATTAACGCAATTGTTCGATAGTCATTGCAATCTTTAGCATTTGTGATTTTTGGAATCGTCACAAAAGTTGAGAGAAGCCACTCTTTGGGTATGTATCCCGTCTTCTATATGGAGTTAAAAAGGTCTACCAAGACATCAATAGTATCTTCATTAATTATCTTTAATAGTTCAATTGGTATTTCATCGGGTCCTGGAGCTTTTCTGCCTTTTGTGTGTTTTATAGCATACATAACTTCCTCTTTCATTATTTCTGGTACCGTGGTTTCTCCGTTAACTTCTAATAATTGTTCTACTTTTTGATCATAAAATAGTTGTTCAATGTATTCTTTCCATCTACGTAGTTTGTCTTGCGTTTCAGTTATAGTGGTACCATCTGCATTTTTTAATATCCCGATTGGTTTGTTACGATTTCCTGAAATCATTTCTTTAACCTTCTTATGGGTGTTGAAAGTGTCATACCTTGCCTCGCATTCCTCGATTTCTTGACATTTAATGGACATCCATGTTTCCTTAGCTTGTATTATTTTCTGTTTTATTTGTTTGTTAATTTCTTGATATTTAATTTTATCTTTGTTTTTATGTGTTCTTCTTTCGTCCATCTTTTCGAGAATTTCTTGTGTCATCCATTCTTGTTTGGCAGTTTTTGTAAATGTTAAAGTTTTCCGTCCCACAGTCTCGATTGCGTTCTTTATATTCTTCCACTTTGTGTCAATATCTGTAGTGTTCTTATTTTGTTGTTTTATTTCTTGGATACTCTGATTTATTTTGTTTTGAGTTTCTTGGTATGTATTTGGTTCTCTTAACTTATCAATGCATATTTGTGGTCTAGATCTTTTCATTAATGGTTTTCTCAATCTTACATTCATATTTGCTACTACTGGGTTGTGGTCCGAGTTTACATCTGCTACAGGGTAAGTCTTCACTACTGTAATAGAGTTCTTGTACCTGTTCCTTATCAAGATGTAATCTATCTGATTTCTTATGATTCTATCTTTGCTGTCTCCAGGAGCTTTCCACGTGTAGAGCCGGCGATTTGGTAATTTAAACATTGTATTCATAACTACTAGTTCTTCTATTTGGCACATCTGAATTAGTCTTTCACCACGCTCATTTCGCTCTCCCAATCCATACATTCCAACACAACTATCCACACTTCCTCTGCCCACTTTGGCATTAAAGTCACCCATTAGTATCAGAACTTCACGTTTTTTTGTTGTTTTCATTATTGTTTCTAATTACTCGTAGAAGTCTTCTATTTCTTGTTCCTCCTTGTCAGCTGTTGGTGCATATACTTGAATAACATTCATTTTCCCTATATTGGTGTTAATTTGTAGCATTATAATGCGATTCGAAAGCGGGGTGAAACCAAGTACGGATTTATCTATTTCCTTGCTTACCATTATGGCCACACCATATCGGTTTGTTCTATCAGAATATCCACTATAATATATAGCTCCGTTTCTAGTCCGTTGTTTTCTAGACCCTGGCCATTGTACATCGCTTATTCCTAGAATTTCGATATTTAATCTTTCCATTTCTATCGCAGTATTATCTACTTTACCTGATTGTAGTAAGCTTTGCAC